GTGAGTAAAAGTTACATAGATATTGTTTAAATATATATATATATATATATATATATATATATATAATTTAATCACCTTCTTGTTGTTGTCCAATTTTAACATTTAAAAGCTAGTGGGACGACCGTTCAAGGTTCTAGAAACACCATATATCATTTAGTATATATAATATAAAAATTACAAAATTAAATTATTAAAAATATATTAGGAAAAATAAAATAATTATGCTTAGTTAATCAATAGTCAATTTTTCTTAGTCGACAAAAATTTATCAACAATTTTAGAAAAATAAATTGGTAATATTTATATGTGAACAGAAAAGTGTGATGTTATAGACTTATTTTCTTTTTTCCTTTTTTGTATGAACATCCATAAGTGTTAACGTAAAATCATAAATAAAATATTGTTTTAAATTTTCTCATATTTTCTTTATCTATAATTTATTTAATTTTCTTTCAATTTTTTAAATGATGACCTATCTTACCATGATGAAATCTGAATATCAAATAATTAAAAATCTCCATCCCTTTGTCACAAACTTTTTATGATGTGTCACTATTATTGATCTATAACATCCCATTTTTTTCAAATAAGTTAATAAAAGATCTTCTAATAAATTAATTGGGATTTAAAATATTATGAGTGATTTGATAAGATAATATCTATTAATTATATTTTTAAATTTAAATATGTGAGATTAATTAGGTGGATTTTTTATTGATGGACTATACATGCGGGTGGGGCTTAGGGGTTTGTTAAAATACATTAGTAATGTTAGGTCTGTTTCACATGTGATCTAACCATATATTGTGAACTGAAGAGGGAAGCAAACCGAAGGCAGCTGGAGGGGAACTCGAAGAGCAAAATCTTGAAGCTAGCGTCGATTAAGGTAAGGGGGAGTAAGAACCTTGCTCCGGGGTGTATGATAACTATTAAGTAGTAAGATTGACCCTAATCCCTAGGATGTGTGTATGTATGTTGGAGAGGGATTAAACTCGATCCTTTTGTGAACCCGAATGAAATTGAATGTTTTGTATATGATAAATGCCTATATTGATGTGTTGGTTCTAAGAATTATGTATAATTATGAACCTATGAGTGCTTGTGGGTTCCAAGGGAACCCTAAGGATGTATCTAAACCCTTAGGTCGAAGCTAATTCATATTGATTGTAGATTGCATGACTAAAATGTGAATTAATTAGACTATAGAAATCCCTTTAACATATTCAAATCCTATAAATCGTAGAAACCACATATTTGAAAAATCACGAATTATGTAGATCAAGTTTTACTTATATTGTGCCGAACTGGGAACAACAAAATGCTTGCGACCTCGACCACACCAAGTGCGAGCTTAGTCTCAACAGATGTGAAAGTTTGAAATACTTGCGGCATTATTAACATCAAACATGAGTATAGTCACATCAGGTGTGAGGGCTCTAGAGAACCTCTGGATGCATCTTGTTGGGAGGATTACACCAATTGTGATTCCTTCCAAAGGCTCGTTGCCTTACATGTGTTAGGCGTAAGGTGTGCCTCATCAAGCACAAACTTGTGTTTGAACTTAATTTTTATGTTTGTATGTGCGAGTAATTTGTGTATAAAAGTGATTGTGATAAGTGAAAGTGATACGTGACGAGTTGTGAAGTGATAAAATGATAAATGATAAAGCGTGACATATTATGAATGATGTGTGATAAGTGAATTTGTATAATAATTCATTGAGTTTTGAATGTCATGCATCATGTGCATCTATGTTTTATGATGTACACGGCTAGGGAATATCCCCTTGTGTTAAAGCTTGGGAATTAGTCTTTGGAGATAGTTTGGCTTGAGAAGTCCCACTTTCACCCATTGTGTGTATAGGTGCATCTTACACAACTCAACTATCTCGACGAAATCCTAGTAGTATATCCTTCTAGTGAGAGTGTTTTGATGACTTAACCTGGCATATGCTCCTATACTACTCAGCCTTCAGGTAGGAAAATGTGTTTTTACTAGCACCACATGTATATAGATTATGAGAGTCTAGTCTATATACGACCATAACATTTTGCTTGTGTTTAAGTTGTATTTTGATTGATATCGTGATGGAATGAGATGTAAACTGAGTTGAAATTATTGTATAGATTGATGAGGAGTTTAATTATTAGTTTTATATAAAATGTTTGTGAGTGACTACCAACCTTATTCTACATCGCTAATAGGAGTGAGATATGTTCTCACTTCCTTATTTTTCATCATGGATAATTTATATGTGGTTGTAGAAGGCTTCCTTTTTAGAGGAATCTAGTTGATTGAAGGGAAAGCTCTAATACCAATGATATCGAAGATATTGAATTATGTTTCATGTTTTCTATTTTAGGAATTTTAGTTTACTTTCCTTAAAACATATTTTCCTTAAAGTTGTAATAGCTAGGCATTAGTTTAGTTTATTTGAATTTTGAATGTGATACTATTTACATTTGTTCGAAGTTATTCAATTACAATATTTTCTTTTTTTTTATTATTATATTATACATGCAGGGTAAAAAGTGTCACAATCCATTTTGCCGTTGCATAATGGTTTCTAACAATAACTTAGTCTCGTACAAATGTACCATACGTTTAGTCATTTTTTTTTATGTAATTGTGTTTAACTATTTGTATATTTACACTTTTAGGTTTGGGAATTTGGGTCATAAGTAATATTCAAATATTTATGAGGTGACATTTTTCTAATTTTGCACAAGGCACAAAAAACTTAGGGTCAGCCTTATAAGCATTCAAGATAATATAGTTATAATTCAATAGTTAAATCAACATAATTAATTTTTCATGTAAAAAATATTGAATAGTATAATAGTTGGTAAAAGTTATACGGATATAATTTGATCTTTTAATATTATCCAACAAGAGCACGTTTTATTATAAGAGATGAAATGAGTAATTCATAACCTTTAAATTATAGATAAAAATAATTAATGGTCAAGCTTAAATTTCAATTATAGATATTCTGTTACACAATTATTACTATTATCCATTGCAAAACTAGTGAAATCATCATTACTCACTATCGCCACCATCATCGTCATTGTCACAATTGTCATTGTTGTTGCCACCACCATTATCTCTGTCGTTGGCCAAAAGGTTACTATAACTAAGGATGAGAATAGGTTAGGCCTTAAACAAGGGCCTATGACCTGACCTTTTTGGCCTAACCTGACCTATTTAATAAAAAATGTCAAGTTTAGGATTTTTAAAAAAGTCTATTTATTTTAAAAGGCTAGACTTAGACTTATAAAAAAATTGTTAGACTTGATAGGTCAACCTATTTATCTATATAATATAATAAAAAATTAATATACATATATTATTAACAATATAATTATATAAATAAATAAATAAGTTTATAAAGCAAAAAATAAATTATCAATACTTTTTTATCACTCCACTTAAACATTTTATGTACCCTATTTATAGAAAATAAAAAAAATTGCAAATAGAAACTCTAGTCGTATCTTCATTTACTCTCTTCTTTTATCTTCAAGGTCATTGGTTGGCTAAGTGCCTTTGTTTTTTATTTGTGAGTTGTGACTTCAGCTTCAACTTTCAATCCTTCATTCATTTTGTGACTTCATAATTCACCTCTTATCATTCATTGACATCATCTTCCATCTTTAACCTTTATATTTTACCGTCATCACTCAACTCATACAAAAGCAACCAACAACTCTGCAACTTTGCATTCTTTCACTTATAGGTAACTTTGTCCATCGTTTTCTTTTTGTATGTTTTCTATATTTTTTTTGTAATTAGATGATTCTCGTTGATATAATTTTCTTATTTGTTTCACAATTTTGGATTGAGAAAGATTCAATGTTTCTTTCTTATATTAAAGACTTGATCATGTTCATAGTCATGATTATTATATTATTTTTTAGTGTCAAGGAATAACTTCACTATTTGAGAACAATGAAGGAGTTACATCTATCCTTCCAACTATCGATGGACTAAATGCACATGAACCAATACCAACAAATCCAAGTCAAGTGGTAGAGTGAAAAAGATTAAGAAAGTGATATTGTTGTGATTAAGAGGAAAAGACAAAAAAAAAAATCATTTGCTTGGAATGATTTTGATGAATTTGAAATTAGTAAAGGCATGTAAAAAGTTATTCGTAAATACTGCAAAGATAGATTTGCAATCGGTGGGATAGAGGCTAGCACTAGTCATCTAAAAATGACATATTGAGAATTACTTAGAAAAAAAGATACATATGGCTGAAAAAAAAGTAATTTTTCATGCTATTTCAACCTTCTAATCATGTTAATCCATTTGTGAGCTTTGGTGTTAGATATAATAATGAGAAGATGAGAGAAATAATTACCATTGTTATTATGGTTCATGAGTATACTTTTAGAATTGTTAAAG